AAAAAAAAAAAAAAAAAAAAAAAAAACAGAAAAGAAGAACGATGGTAGCCACCCACTCAGGTCTCTCAGCCATTCTGGAGAGAAGCGTCAGAGTGTGCGTTTCCTTGACTTGCCGGTGAAATAGGAACCGGACTACAAACTGTGCTGGATCGTGAGTCATACAGGACTGAAGGACTGCTTGGCGCAATTCCGAGGCATCCGGCATGCGGGCACAGACTTATACGAAAGGATCCTTGACACAGCCAAGGCCGAGCTAGGGGAATGGGAGAGGTGGAGAAACAGCAGACTGCAGATGAGGGCACTGCTCAGAGAACAGGAGGAGGGAGAACAAATGACTAAGTACATTTTTGATTTTCAGAAAATCAAGGCCAATGGACAGAACTCCACCATCTAACAGCTGGAGGGCCCAAGCGGTCCAACACCGAGCGCAGCAGAAATGGTCCAAGTAGCCCATGGGTTCTATAGCAACCTCTACACAACAAGTGAAGAGGAAAATCCAAGCGAGCACAGATTATAGTAGCAAGATCCAAGTTTCAAACGTACGATCCCATCACACCAGGAACAGATGCTCGATGCTCGATGCTCGATGCTCGATGCTCGATGCTCGATGCTCGATGCCCCCCTCTCACAGGAGGGACTTTGGGGAAGTTCCGGAGTCTATGTACCCCAACAATACTCCAGGGCGGGATGGACGAACAAGGGAATTTTGGATGGAGTACTGGCCCATCCTAGGAGAGGAGGATGAGGGCTTTATCAATACAACATGACAGTACCAAGGGTTAGGCCAAGACCCATCTACAGGAATTGTAACGCTCCTTTACAAAAAAGGGGATCCGAAAAATATAAGGAATTATTAATTAATGATTATAAACCTATCCAAATACAAAAAATGAAAGGTAACTTCATTATGGTAGTATACCAACCAGTTTCAAAACTTCCAGTTCCTATCAAAGCATATAGAGTATAGACCCATAACCCTATTAACATTAACTCATAATAAAAATAGTAGTTAAAGCACTCGCAAACAGGCTAAGGTCAGTCAACCCAGGCTGCTTTCACTTATAGATCAGACGGGCTTCATCCCGGGGAGGCTCATTTCATTCTGAATAATGTGATGACCCTGACGGAGTTGCGATACATAAAGGACAAAAGAAAGAATCGGTGCAGCAATTTTATTTTTCGATTTTGAAACAGCGTACAGCAGCTAAATGGATCTGCACATCTAGCTCCCCAACGCTGAGGTTACAACCAGGTGAACTGGAATTCGCTCCAACAGTGCATGGAAAGAATGGGAGTGGGGCCTAACTTTAGGAAATGGATAATAGTGCTGTACAATGACGCACACGGTCAGGTGCAAGTTAATGGCCACCTGTCAAAGAAATATAAAATGTCGAGGTCGGTTTGGCAAGGGAACCCTTTAGCTGTGGCGATTTTTCTGTTAATCACGGAGGCGGTGGCATCATTCCTCAGGAATGAAGGACCCCTCGATCCAACGACTAGTCATGGAACCAGATCAGCAAGGGCGGTCGGTCAATTAACATCCCAACCACAATTCTATTTGCAGACAACGTGACGGTGTTGATCCTCGCTTCTGATTCATCGTTCGAAGCATTGACAAAAGCAATGCATGCCTTCCGGTTGGCCTCAGAAAATCAACTGGCCAAAGATGGTGGTGTTGCTGGCTAGCAGACATGGAAGAGTAAAGGCCCGGTCCATCTATCAGTCCAGAGGGAATGCAGTGAGCAACCCCACTCGAACGATTGAGAGACCTGGGGATCAAGATCACCGAGGCAGGACCACATCGCTCGATGGCTTCGGAAATATTGTCAAAGATGATCACAAAGCTGGGGTCTTGGTCGATAGTCTATACCTCTCCGTACGGGCAAGCAGTAATTCTGAATGCATCTATCTTCTCAATGCAGTGGTATGCGGGAACAATGTGGAGTCTGCCAGCACAAACCATGTCAGAACCAACAAGGAGAAGGGCTGCCGCCTACCTATGGACAGCAAACACGTTTAGGCACCACTTCATCTCCAAGGTGGCGTGGAAGCGCGTAACTTGAAAAAGGAGAAGGGGGGTCCGGGAACCATCGACCCTGCGATCAGCAGCTCAATGCCCTGCAAACCAAGTGGGTGATCAATCTGATTATGAACTTGCACTTTCCATGGGTACCCCTTGCCCTCGAAAGGATTCGGAGGGTGGCTAAGTTCAAAACAAGACCTAATATGACCGGACTAATTGGCTTATGTGCAAAAGCTGGGCAAAAACGGGCAGGGAGGAGAATAGGACCGACCAGAGGGACAGGGGGGAAGGAGAGGGCAACTAGTGTTGGAGACAGCTTCTCAAGCTATGGGAAGAAGTCTTCCTGGGTAGAGTCTGGGAACCCGGCACAGGGGAGGAGGTGTTGTGCCAGCCCCTATTCTGCAACCAATGGATCAAGGATGGTCAAGGAGGACCGCGAAAGCTAACGGTCGGTGGAGCATGGGGTCTGCAGGTAAAGCATCTCTAGTCAGAGGGCAAAAAGCAATGGAAAACAGCACGGGAACTCAGAGAGAGGAACTGAAGGGGAGCCACAGGCTGCTGGAAACCTCAATGGCATGCTAATATCAATACCAGCAGAATGGAGGCAGATACTGGAGAAGGGACCTCAGCGGCAGTACGGATACTGGGCGATGTGGCAGCATGAGGAAGAACCAAGCGAAGCATTCCAATGCAGAGGTAAGAGGGACCACAGGGCAATTGGCTGTGCACATATATGTACACAATTGAACAGCCAGGGGCCACCACCAGCAAGCTGGATAGGGACTCAAGAACGCCGGTCAGGACCACTATCTACGAACCTACAACATTGTTGGAGGACCTCGAAATCGACCTGGCGGAGTGGGGATGGAATTTGAGACAGGGAAGGTTAAACGTGTCCTGAAGAATAAACATTCTCCACTATACAGCTCACCTCGGTTACAAGCTCGGACGGCTCTCCCACCAACTGGAAGAACCATAAGTAAACACTGGGAGGACAGAATGTGGGCGACCCCGGTGCAATTACCTCACTTCCCTTGGTCTCGACTGAACGCTATCAGACTGGGACGGATAAGAAGCATGCCGTGGTTGATCTTTCACGGAGCACTACGGGTCAACATTTGGCCCAATTCGCAGAGGAACCAGGAAGACGGAGATCTGCAGAAGGAACTACGTGTGACGGATGGCTGTCATCACCACTGAATGCAGACAGACAAACCATTACCCCTGCCTTAATACTATTGCAGGCGCTTTAACAAGGGTGTACTGACCATTTGGCACATCTTAAAGGTGCTGCGAATAGACACTCAGGAGAGCACATGCAACGTAAACAACATAAAGAAAATAGTAAAATACTTAGAGACAGTGGAACACTGCCTATTGGCATGCCACAACGTGGACCAAATCTGGCAATTAGCCAAAGCTCTATGGGCTCGGGTTTCAAACTCTACATTCCCCGGGGGCACGGTTGCTTTGCCGACGGGGACAGGACTACCCAGGTTGTGACAAGGCTTTGAGAAGAAAACATTTCAGCTATTAAGGCAGTACGCCCTCTGGACCATATGGAAGACGAGATGCCAGCAAGTGATTGAGAAGCGGCCAATGCACAAACAGGAGGCACGCGACATCTACCAAAGACTTTTAGAGACAGACATTCCGGCACAGTGGAACAGGGCAAGGGGGCAGATCCTGCAGAATCTGGCGAAGGCCCAGGAAATAAGGAAGCAGTTTGAGCAAACTGTGATAACCCGTCCAAACACGGACTGAAACACACAGCTGATTTCTGAGTTTTGCTCATAGACTGAATGCCCTACTGAGTTCCCCGCCTGCTAAGTCTGTGTGTGTGTGTGCTTGCTGGACTGCATGTCTGTCTGAGTGCTGGTTGGCTTGCGTGTGAGACCATGCCTGTCTGAGTGCTGGTTGGTAYGAGTGTGTGTGTGTGTGGCCCGCCAGGGCACTTGTTCGTTCGTTGGGCCCTCAGGGCCGGTACTTACCTGTGGCCGTGGCTTCGAAGGGTTGCAGCAGGGAAAAAGCACTCAAGTAGCGGGTAGGCCGGTACCGCACCCGGCAGGGGGGTAAATATGCAGGTACCGGAGGCCGAGCAGAAGAAGACAAAAGTGGCATTTTTAGAGGCCGGTAGTGTAGGCTAGGTCTAGCGGGTACCAGTCTGAGTCTAGGGCCTGTAGGGGCAATATCAGAGTCTGCAATGATGTTCCCTCCAAAAGGAGGAAGAGGTACCGGTTGCTTGGGAAGGCCAGCGGCCTGGAAGTCACCGCCCAAGAGGCAAAGCAGGCCGCTATATCTTCCGGCCGGGCGGAAGACCCGGCCTCTTTTTCGGTGTGCAAGTTTGGCGACACACTGGTGGAGCGCTGGAGGGAGCAGCGCTGGGTTGGAGCTGCGCTGCTGGGGAGGAAGAAGAAGGACTAGAGGGAGGAAGAAGGAGGAAGGAAGGAGGAAGGGGGAGGAGCGCCAGGGGTACTTACCTGGCTATGGTGGCAGCCATCTTCATCACCTTGGTGGGCGCTGCTGCAAGGAGTCCCCAGCCGGGGGAGCTACACCAAGAAGCTTCAAGGTAAGGCTGGGCATGGCAGCCTGAGCGGGAGCAGCCATAGCTGCTCTGGGTTGTCCTTTGGACGTCGGTGCAAGGCCTAGTAGCCTCGGCCTATGTGTGTGAAGAGTGGGGGAGGCAGCCATGGCTATGGTGGACCTTGAGTGATACCTGCAGTAGAAAAGGGACTCGGACATGATTCTGGACCAGTCATTCAACATTGTATTATCATTTCTTGTATGAATAAGAGAAGGGGGAGATAAGGAGGAGGAGATTGTTGGGCGAAGAAGAAGAGCCTTGTCATTGTCTTTGCTGGTGTACATCTTCTTCTTCTTCTTTCTTACTTCTTCTTCTTCATCTACTCCTCTCTCACCTCTCAAGTTCATTCATTTCTTTCTGCAATTGGATGGCATTGTACTTTCCAGTGGATGTGTATCTCGAAATTGGCCAGGGTCATAACAAAACTGTGCTTTGCAAGAGAAAGGTGGCGACCATTCACGGGTCCAGGCGCTTATTTCAATGGTGGCCAGCAACATCAGGACAACTCGGCCCAGCAAAGAGATAGACATGCCAGACAGTGGCTGCAATACAAAGTTGGGGGGAGCAGTGCCCTCCCACTTCCGTGCAGATGCAGTGGTAGGGTTTTAGGGTTTAAGGAGGGGAAACCTGGGAACCACCAGTACAACCGGGCCTGCAGGCCCCTAGCTGCGCACCATGGTTGTCTGAACCGCCAGCGGCGCACTTTTTTCCGTTTTTGGCTGGTGCCACCAGCCATCGCGGTCTGGTAGGTGGAGCCTCCGAAATTTTTGTAGGCTACACGTTTCTTTTTCAGCAAGGCTGGGGCTGTGTACTGGTGGTTTAATATAAGTTAGGGCTGTCGATAAGTAACACATTTCTTTTTCAGCAAGGCTGGGGCTGTGTACTGACGGTTAGAGCTCATGGCTCCTAGCGTTTGTTAGTCAAGTAGCCTTGCTTGGAGATAGCAACGGAATGGGACGCTGGACCCGGTTTCCAGCAGAGCCGAAGCTGCGTAATCGCCCCAGTACCCCGGGTTGAGATGTGGAAGGATAACCAGCCTCCGAATGCTTATGTGGTAATAAACTAGGAAGATTCTCACGCAAGGCTGGTCCTGCCCCGCCGGGCACCCGAGCGTGATGCCCCGGGGGGTCTGACGCCCGGGGTACCTGGGTGTGCCAAATATATATATATATATCATCACAAAATATATTTTTTGGTTTTCTGCGCTCTCCCAGAGGACCCCAAATCGGGGCTCATTTCTTTTTTTCCGAGTTGGCTGTGAAGGGGGGAGGGGGGCGTATAAATTGGTTGTAAAGGGTTAAGCTTTAAAAGGGGTTGCCTTTGTGTGATTCTGATATTTTCTTTTTTTTATCTCCGATTCTGTGAGGAATTATAATGTGACCCTCAGCCACACATTTTTTTTCCGGATTTTTTTTTTTTGCGCTGGGGCTGCCCAGAGCCCTGCCAGGGGGTCATGCCCGGCCGGGCACTTGGGCGTGTACCCGGGCAGAAGTTGGGTGCCCGGGCGCCCGGAAAAACAGCCTAGGTAATAAAGCCATTGTTTTTGTTAGAAAAACAAAACAAGGAACCAGACTAACAAAAAAAAGTAATAGCAACCGGACCGACGCCCCCAGAATGGAATACGGAACCAGAACCATAAGGTTGTGTTTTTTTATTTCAAGAAAATAAAAAAGGATGATCGTAGCGATGCATGGCAGCAATCAACTTACTTCTTATTTTCCTGCAGTTGAGGATTGAGCAATTTGCCCACTCCATTGAGCCACCTGCCTTTCTCTTGTACGCCAAACCGCATGTGTGTCGGATCTATTCCTGCAGACTTCCAGTCATAGCATCTGTTCCTCTGCTCCCCTGACAACAGTTTTATTCCACGTTTTACAATGTACCAGCATCCAGCAAGACCCCATACGAACAACAGCGTACAGTCAAAGTGACTGAACACGCCCGAGTAGCCGGCCGGGATGAACCCCGGGCAGAGTTCAAGGCAGCCCCATCGCAAAAAAGAAAAAGAAAAAGAAAAGGAAAAAGAAATAAAAAACTTCAGGAAAAAAGAAGTCATGTGTTACGATCCTGGCCAATTTAGAAGTACACATTCACCAGAAAGCACAATGCCGTCCAATTGCAAAAAGAAATGAATGAACTTGAGAGGAGAGAGAGGGAAAGAAGGAGGAGAAGAAGAAGAAAGAAAGAAAGAAGAAGAAGATGATGTCCTCCAGCATAGACCAATGACAATGCTCTTCTTCTTCACCAACCACTCTCCTCCTCCTTATCTCTTCCCCTCTTATTCAAACAAGAAATAACAATAATAATGTTGAAGGGCTGAACCAGAATCAATGTCCGAATCCCTCTTCTACTGCAGGCACAACATGAGGTCCACCGTAGCCATGGTAGGCCGAGGCTATGGCAGACTACTGAGGGCTCTACCCTCCTGTGCAAAGGACAACCCAAAGCAGCTATGTCGCTGCCCGCCTGTGGAAAGGACAACACAAAGCAGCTATGCCGCTGCTCATTAAGCCGCCATGCCTGACTCTGCCCCGAGCTTCCTTGGTGCGGCACTACCCCAACTGGGGCCTTCCAGATTCAGCGCCATTACAGAACCCGACCATACCGCGCCTTTGCCACAGGATTCTCGTGAGTCGTAACCTGTTGTGGCCCTTGTCGACCTGTAGGCTGGAACCTCCGCAAACCGGCTTCTGAATTGTGCCAGTCTTTCCATCGTACATGAGAGGCCTGTATGTCTGCTACCTTGCCCCCTACATTTTGGAAATTGGTGTTCTTATTGTATGGCTCCTTGCGAAATTCATTTAAATTTTAAATTAATAAAATATTAAATAAATCAATTCATTAAAAAAAAATATAGCAGTGAGTTTTTTTATTTAAAAAAACGTCAAAAGTAGTGTCAAGCTCAACAGGGTCTTCTTTCCCCGCCGATTCTTCCAAGCCCGTTCCCTTGGCTGTGGTTTCGCAGGATGGTAGATAGGGACAGTGGGAATCAATTTTTGTTTCTATATATCTGATGTAATTCTAGTAGTACACTAAGTAAACGAATTTAGTAACATGATACTGATATAGGAGGAATATTCGATATATAATAAAAGTGCAAGGAACATGAGTATGGACGAAGCACAGAAATCCAGAATGCAATATCACACTGAAGTCCAAGTAGTCAAAGCCAAAGCAGATAGTACAATGGAACCGAGTAACCATCCAATTGAGAATGATACAGAAGAATCGTGAGTCAATGTCCATGCCCAACAGGGCAACACCAACAGCATAACCCAAATGTAGCTCTCTCTTGTGAATGGCGCCAGGCGCCCTATCTACTCTACAGCCTATCCTACAACTACAGCAATGAAAGCAACTAGACAACTTGACTACCAGCGAGTGATGATGTCAACACCAATGCCGACCTCTGCAATCAGACTCGTTCTCAAACACACTTTTCATGCATGTAAACAGCAATGCAGCATACTGGCGACATGCGCCCACTCAAAACTCAGAGATATGGCTTTCAGATACGAGTTCACTCTCAATTGGCTATGGCGACTTCAGCGCCCAAACATCTCACTGTTCACATACACTGGATCACCCTGGATATCCCACACGCATCACTCTAACACTCGAGCACACACAC